AGGAATCTCTGTTGTGTCAATCATGTAGTCAGTGCAAGCAAAGTAAAAAAATACCTTATTTGACCCAAATTGATCGGCACTTGATGAAGTTGTTTGGAAAAAAAAAAAAGAGCGAAAGAAAGGAATACCACTTATTGTATAATGGTATAGTTTATTGGAAAAAGCTAGAATGAAAAAAAAAGACGAAAATAAATAACCGACTATAATCAGAACAGTGTATAAAATTTTATGAACTAATTTTAAGCAATCAAATAAACTGTTTACTAAAAATGACGCATTTTTTTTTCTCTTTTTGTTACCATTTAATTTTTTCTTTTATTTTTGTTTTTTCAGCTTTTTTCTATTATACAGACTTTTCAATTAATGAAAATTTTTCAGCAAAAAAATATTATTGTTCTTATTTTCATTCAAAATTTTTTTCTTACTAATTTTTATTTACTGTTTATTTGCAGAATTGAAAGTGTTATTGAAACGGCTCGACAAATGAAAAAAGCTTATGGTTTTGCAATTGGTGAACAACCAACAGGCACGGCTCCAGTTCGAGCTATTGCTCAAGTAATAATGCTGTTCAGTATCTGAATAAACAATTTGTTGCTTTTTTCTCTCAAACCCTTTTTTTTTTTTTTACATGGAATATATTATTGCACATCTTTGAAATAAGCGTACAGTTATCACCGCAGAAAGGTAAAAAATTGCACATTATTTAGAAGGAATCATTATTACAAGCCAGTGCAGGTCGTTTTTCACCAGCAGTTAATCGAGGTGTCAATGCAATTACAGCAATTCAGGCCCCAATTGCCCAACAACAGCAACAACAAGTTGCTGCTGCTGCAGCTGCTGCGGCTGCAGTTCAAATGCCACAGATTCCACAACTTAATACACTTGCTGAAGTAATTAAAATTAACAAAAATTTATTAATATTTTTTCTGTTTTGATGTGCTACCGAGCAGCAAAGTGAAAGAAAATTGCAAAAAAAAAAAAAATAAAAAAAAAAAAATAAAAAAACGTGAATTGGATATAACAAAACTTATCATATATCTGTACAGAACAGTTATCAGCAGCGTTACTTCCAATAGTTTCAATGTTTTATTCCACTTTTTTTTTTACTTTAAAAAGAATTTTCTTTTCTTTTAGGCATTTGCTCAACAACAACGATTGATGAGCTTAGCCGGTAGGCAACCAAATCAGTTTACTGCCGATGAACTTCACCAATTACAGCAAATGCAACGACCGATACATCCACAAAATTTGTTGATGCAACATGGTTTACCAATAAGTGTGTTAATAATGTATCATTTTTTCTTTGGTTAAAATTTAACCTTAAGTTTTATTGTATAAAACTTGTTTAAAATCTAATACATTTTTTCAGATATGTTCCCAAATTTGGTTGCAAGTAGTGTGGCAAATCTCTTACCACCAAATGCGACACTTAATCCAGCAGTTGCTGCATCACGTAAACGTGAACATGAAATTGAGGAGATTAAGCCAGATATTTACGGAAAAGTACAACGAGGTAAAGCTTTTTTTCTTCACTTTTTTTTTGCTGGTATTTTGCACTTCACTCTCAAAAAAATTCGTTTTTTTTTTTT